AATATAATTCGACTCGCAGTATTCAATTGATGATATTTCTGTGTTTGAGTAGTTGACCTTCATTTGTAACGAAAATTATTAGATTTTTTATGATACTGTATCTAGGTATATTAATTAGTGAAATTTAAACCATTCCGTTAAAGTTTGAAGACAGATTTGATGAGTTTTGCTTAATTTTAGATAACAACAACAGTTTATAAATAAAATAATTATAGAAATAAAACTTCTCATCATTCCATATATTCACGGTTCGTGTGTCGGGTCCATCGTTGTAGTGAGAGGAGCTTCAACAGTGACTGTGACTTGTGACCCAGGTGTAGGTTTAAGGGGCCCTATCTAACGTTAAACGCTCTCCACCGTACAAGCTCCTCTCTCTACCTAACCAAATAAGTTTTGTAGAAACAACGAGAAAGTAAACATATTTCTTTGAAATCTAGTTATTTAATTTATTTCAAGTTTGTTCATTTATTTCTCAAGGATTTTTATAAAAAAATTAATGCTCCGTGATCATGTATGGTGGATAAAGTCACGGGTAATAACTAAATATAATGGAATTATCACGATTTTGTGCCAAAATCTTTAAAATCGCCGCACACAGCTACTTTCACAGTTGTTTTGACTTGTTTATTATACTAGGCTTACTTGATCGTAAATTTGTGAAAGGTGGAATTTACTTAAAAGCAGTATGCCTTTTTACAGATATAAAGTTTCGTGAGTTTTCGCCTATACATATAAATTAATGATGTAGCTGTAGTTTTTTATCTTTATAACTAGTTTTGGATGCAAATACATATTTTTTTTTAAACTATGGCTTCATTCTCACTGGAATCGTTGATGTTCTGCCAATGTCAACGTTTTTATTTGTTAAAAGAATTATAATGTTGAGTACTGTGTGGAGGCACGAAGGAGTTTGTCGAATGGAATAAAGGCGTTTATTATATAATAATAATTCTTTTTTAAGAAAACTATACTTTTACCAGCATCTAGAACATTAAAAATTTAGAAATAACAACACATCTTAGTAATTAGAATACTAATATAGTTTCTTTGGATAAGACTCGTAAATATTGACAGTTTTAAAATATCGAAAACTCCTTAAGATACAGATTAAATAATGATAAATGAAAATTGTGTTTTAATAATTTCAACTTTATTACTGGTTTTACTTAAAAAAAAAAATTAACTTCTATCTTTTATTTAAGTGTAAATAATTTGTAAAAAATACATACAATGGTAATTAATAATAATTTAAAATATCCACTACAATATTAATTTAAAGAAATAACGTTCTTGGCTTTTGACAAATGTCAGATTTTTCGCTCCAAAACAAATTTCAATAAGAAAAAAATAATTACGTAGAAAATTTTCATTTCTATGTTTAAAAATATTTGCGTTGTAGATTCTTCTGCTTGTATGTACTTAACTACTATTGTTTTAAATGAAACTAATATTTTCGTATAATACTAGTATCTTATTATTTTAAACTACATACTTCCGATGTTTCAGTTACTTTGCAAATTGCAGCAAACGTGATCATGAAGACTAGATGAAAATATTGTTAACCAATAGTTTGTATTAATGTTTATTCTGCTTGAAAAGATCTTTTAATAGTTTTTTCTTTAAATTGGATTTTAATAACTCTCCTATTGATATTATATGATAACAGTTTTATATTTTTCGTATATATTTATGAAAGGAAATAGTAATATTAGAATTAATTAAAAAAACTTTTATTTTTCTTACAATTATATGTATTTTTATAATATCTTGAATTTTGAGAAGTGTGTGAATTTTCGTAACTTTAAATGTAGGACTTATATCTCATAGGTAGGTAATTATTATTTTCCTTATGTATTTTTTTATTATTTTATATCATACGAACATCGTGATTGTCACCGAAATGTAACTTTTTATACATGATACATTTACTAACTCCTCGCTATATGTGCTCTGCGTCATATTAAAGTAATAAAAAAACTCGTGGACCGTATCACAAGCGAGTTCCAAGAAACTCTAGAGATCCGTAGTGAATGTAAAAAACCATTTTAATAATTCTCAAACATACCCGAAGTTGTATATAGTACAAGAAGTTGAAGTTAATTCTATGAGAAACAATATCCTTTAAAAACAAGTAATTAAGGTGGAAATAAAAAAAAACATCGTTGTATTGAATCAAATATGAAATAATACACATATACGTATATTCTATTTCAAATATATTCTTAACATTAAACTGAAAGTAACGGAACGTATTCTGCAATAAACATTTCCTTTTCACAATCAACTTTTTTTGTTATACAACCGTTTAAAAGGAATCGACCATGTAATAAATAGTGCAGGTTTAATGAGTCATAACTAGTTTTATGTACAACGCCATCTATCGGCGACGCTAGTTTTAACTCGTAAATATTCTCGCTTTTACCACCACTTTGTGTCACTTAACAGATAGTAAGGCGTTTTTTTATTATAATACTAGAAGACCTGGCGAACTTCGTATCGCCCTATAATCAAGAAATATCTGTTACGTTTTTTATTTATATTTTTGGAGTTTACCTGTAAGACATAAATCTCCGTGTTTTGAAGTGCGACAGATCACAGAATCATTGACATATGTATTAGTTGTCAAATCTAATGTCAAAAAAAACGTTTGTATAGGAAAGAGAAAAGGGCTGTTTTTATGGTTTTCCCAGTAATGAATCAATTTTTTTCAGCTTTTATACCTTCCCTGAACCTCCAGGAACATTTCAAGACTAAGATAAGATAAATCCGTTCAGCTGTTCTCGAGTTTTAGCGAGACTAAGGAACAGCAATCCATTTTTATATACATAGAAGATAGAAGATAAACGTAGAAGGAAAATACTGCATACTGATAGTTTTTTAGTTTCACTCAAACTCGTAGTACTAATAAATGTTTTATGAATGAACTACATACACTGTTCATTTTTGTTAATATTTCACTTACCTAGATCTTAAACCGGCTTTCGACGATAATTTGTATATATGTGGCTTGAGCATTGCAAAAATGAGAACTGACAAACAATTTTCGTAGGACGAAATATTATTAATACTGATTTGAATTTGATTGAAATGGCAAAATCTAAGCGCACGGTAGTGCGCCGGCCAAGCTCCAGAAACAGGCCGCGCGCATGCCGTGCACTATTTACACGAACCGTTTCGACCCACTTTTGACCCCCCTGTAGCTCAGTGCCTATTGCAAGTACAGAGATAAAATTGTACCTACGTAATCATATACTAGTACTAAAGCAGTATGCCAAATTTCATAGATAAAGCTTCAGTAGATCCTGAAATATGACCCTGTGAAAATAGCTATTTTTGGCACTGATATATTTTTCTTTCATAACTTCAATAGAAGACAAATTACCTATACATATTACATATACTATTTTTTTATTATTTTATAGTTTAGGCATTCTATCTATTTATTTATATATTTTAGGTCCTCCGCTTAAAATAGATTTTTTTATTACATTATAAATATTATATTAAACTTCGTACAAAATGACGAAATCATTCCTAGTTATCTATAAGTATAACATATTTTACTTACTTTAATCAAGGCTAACTTCACCGTAGTCGGGTAATAAAACAACCATAGCCTGTATTTTACATATATTAAATTGTCTATAAACAATTCTTCACAAAATTTTAACCGGTATACATCGCACGGGAGAAAATACTAACATAATGAAAAAAAAAATTCCCGCCAAAATAAAAGCCAGTGACACGATGTTTTGTACAGTGCCATACAGCCAATGTCCTAAATAAAATTTAAATCGTCTAATCTAATTATTAATTGACTTATTATATAAAAATAAACCGCGCGATGAAAAACATAACATTAATTTTGGGTGAAATTTATTTATAAAAGGTTTATAGAAGCACATATATATATATTTTTGTTACATAAAATTTTTCAACTCCCCGATATATGAAGGCAGTGTTGAGTAACTATTAAAACTAATTCACTATTATTATAAAATTACACGTGATAACTTCAATAAAATCTACCAAACGTCAACAGAAACCTACCATTTGTTATTTATTTGGTAGTTTCCAATGCCACCGTTGATGCAACACTAAATTTATCTTATACTAAACAAAAATACCCTCAAAATTACGTGCAATATTTTGTCACTCAATTTACATTAATTATCTACATATTAGCTGAAAAATAATAATAATAATAAACACACTTATTTTTTAATAATTATTATCATTACATGTATGTATATATCATTGGATGTAATATATTTAAAAAATTTATTATGATTCAAATTAATTATTTGAGGCTGTATACGAAATGCTAGTCCATAATAAACGACTGATGCGTGATTGGTCAGTGATCACGTCATACATAGAATCGACCAATCACAAGTCCTATTTCGCTAATACAATTCCTTAATCCTTACAGCGCTGTGACTGGTCCGTTATGACGTCATATGTGTAACTTCTGTGTCCAAAGAGCTCACCTGATTGGTCAATTATGACGTCACGTGGGTGAACAACCAATCAGAGGTATCCTTCCAATTTCAAACTATCTTATCTACCCGCGAAAACCAAACAAACTAGCGCCGCGCCGTGATTGGTCCATTATCACGTCATACACAAAATCGACCAATCACAAGCCAGATAAACATTCCTATACCAACTACCTCTATTTCCATATAGTTAGCGGGCCGAATCATTTCTATAGTACATTCAATATATCTAAATCTATAATAACTATGTTATAATTATTTTATTATAGGTTTTTTTTACATCTTTTTTTTTAATTTTTTTTTCTTCAATAGAATGCATACGATCATCACAATAAAACATGATTCCCAGCGGTCCCACAAAACATACGGACATATATATTAATCCATGTGTTAGTTAGTTTATATATATTAAATACATATGTATATGTCATATATATATGAGACCGCTATAAAGGCATATGTTGTAACCCTTGATATTTACTATATATATGTATATATTATTTATTTAGCAGAGTTCTTCCTTTGAACGGGTTTATCTGTTTTGACTTTTGGTTTATCTTTCAGCGGTTTCTTTTCCTTATCCGCTGGTTTGACTGGTTTTTCGGATTTCGGTTTCTCTGCTGGTTTATCAGATTTTGGTTTCTCTGCCGGTTTGTCGGATTTAGGTTTGTCCTGCTCTGGTTTCTTGGGTTTGTTGGCTTTCGCTGCCGCCGCGTAGTTTATTGGTTTGAAACCGGATTCTTCTGTTGGTGGCTGTGGATTGAAAATTATTTTATTAAAATGTATATTAGAAAAATAACAATTATACAAATGATATTCGGGAAGACTGTTATATGTATTAAACTTAAAAAATAAGTAATATTTATATATGTTACTCTATTTCTCTACATATAATACCATACAGTTGGTTTTGAAAAGAAAATGTTTAAAAATATTTTATTTAATTAAAGTATTATACATATTTTTTATATTGATAGTTCAAACTGATTTAGTGCGTTTGATTTAAGCTGAGCTTTGCATTTGTGTGAGTGTACACGGATAGTGTAGGTGTGATGTAAAATTTTTGAATACAACGTTCTTTTCTATGTTTTTATTGGTTTATTCTGCTTTAACTCAGCCCCGCACCTTCCTCACTTCACCTTTTGTACTGGTAGCAAAATCAAATGTTGAAAACGCAATGTCAAGTGAAAAAGAATTTGCAGATTTTTAATTTTTTTTATTAATTAATTAATTTTTTCAACATGGCCTCTTACAAGTTTTGCTTATTTCCTTTTTAAACTAAATACATCTAGCACTTATGTTATGTATCTATTTAAATATAATAACAATTAATTCTACAAGTTTTTTGTCTAACTCTACTTTTACTTTCCCTCACACAAATGCAAAGCTCAGTTTAAATCTAACCGACTATACTTAGGTTTAATTAATACCTTTACATCAGCTAAGTTCTCATCTGTCCGTTCATTCTTAGTCGATCTCTTTACAGCAACCTTTGTGTCAGATTTTGATATATTTTTCGTTTTTGATTTGACTTCCGGTTTTGTTTTCTTCTCTTCCGACACTTCCGGTGGGTTATCTGGTATGTCAGTTGGTTGCTTTTGGTTCGCTTCTGGGAATTAAGAAATTTAGGTTAATTTAATTTGAATAATATAACGCGATTAAAGATTTTCACATTCATTGAAATAAATCTAATATTTTTAGCATTACATACTGGTTTTTTTTATTATTTTAATTACATACTAATGATGTTTTTTCACGTTTCCGTGATCACGGTTGTAAAGTAACCTAAACATCGGGAGTATGTAGTTAATATAACAAAAAAACGCGTATTAATCTGAAAAATATGAGTTTTATTCTAACTTCTCTTTGTATTTTTAAACATAACTACATAAAAATCTTATTAAAGCAAAAAAAAGCAGAATTAAAATTACATTGATCAACTCCCTGTTTAAATCATGACTAAAATATTGATAAAGATATTGCCTTACATTTATTTATCTAACTCCTTACTAATATTATAAATGCGAAATTAACTCTGTCTATCTGTTACGCTTTCACGCCTAAACCACTGAACTGATTTTAATGAAATTTGGTACAGACATAGTTGACCATAGGATATAAAAGTATATTTTATTAGACGTAGCCAACTGACAATAGCTAATGTCACTTTGTTAAATAATGTTGCAATATTTAAAGTAATAGTGATGCGTTGAGTTAATAGTTAATAATGAATGTAAATAGTTATTTATTTTAAAATATAATGGTTAAGAATATTGTTTATATCTTACAATAAAATTTTATATAAGTGCTTCTGATATAAGTTACTAGTAGTATGTACCTAGTCCATTTTTTGAGAGCATTAGTGGTGATTTGTAATCTGATTATGAATAAAAACAAATTATGTATTCAGTAAGTTTTTTATTTTCATTGCCTATGCCGTTGTTATATTTTATACATATACTAGAAGACCCGGCGAACTTCGTATCGCCCTATAATCAAGAAATATCTGTTACGTTTTATTTTTTTTATTATTTATATTTTTGGAGTTTACTTATTAAACCCATAAATCTCCGTGTTTTGAAGTGCGACAGAATGATTGACATATTAGTTAGTAGTCAAATCTAATGTAAAAAAAACGTTTGTATCAACAACTACTAATAAATTAAAAATTATATGAAAAACATTGTCCAGCGGACAAAATTGTGAATCTAAACAATTCCCAGATCCCCTTGAACACACACAAAACATTTCATTAAAATCGGTCCAGTCGTTTGAGAGAAGTTCAGTGACATACACACTCACAGAAGAATTATATATGTATACAGGGTGACTGGTGAATTACTATCAATATTTAGGGAGCATACTCGGTACATGATTCTCATTCGAATTATGTAAAAAAAATAGGTACTTAATTTTTGACCAAATTTCCGTATAAATAAATAAAGTGTTGACACGTTCCAAGTGTGGACGCGTGCGGCGGCGTGCTGATACAAAACCACGCCCCCGCCGCGTGTGTGTGAGTGTGTATACCTAATCTGTAGGGTGTTCACACGATGCGTAATTAATTACATAACTTTTGGTTAACTTTACTTAGAAGTTTATTAATATTTATGTTATATTAATTTTTATTTTGTCATATATGATCGTCAAATATCACGTCCTCAAGTATCGATAGTAATTCACCAGTCACCCTGTATAAAGATAGTTTCATAATGTACTGAAAATAGGGCTTTAATGTTTTAAATACTTGGTAATCAGTATAGATAGATAGTATAGGTACATAGTCGTCGAAAAATCTTTGGTAAGTTTTAACTAAGCACTATTGAAATTCGAAATTCATACCTAATATTGGCAGATTGGCACGCTAACTATTCACTAAACAATCAAAGGAATTTCATTCATTTAAAATTTTTTTCAATCTTTCACTCTGTTACACTATTTTTTTCACTAAAAAGTGACAACACAGTAAATATCAGTTGACTTCGTCTAATTAAAAATATGACTATGACTCTGTCTGTCTGTCTGTTACGCTTTCACGCCTAAACCACTGAACTGATTTTAATTAAATTTGGTACAGACATAGAGCTGACCTTGAGAATGAACATAGGATAGTTTTTATCCCAGACTTTTGAATGGTTCTCTTGGTAACGCGATATAACCGAACTCCACGCGGGCGAGGCTGCGGGCGGAAAGCTAGTTGAATATATATATACATACCTTCTTTATTTTCTATTACATTATCCACTACAGCCTCAACTTGTTTAACATTTTCTTCATCTGTTTTAACATCTTGTCTTACTTCTGGATTTTCTTGTTTTTCTTCTGCAAAATCAAAAAAAATAGTAAGTTGCTGCGCTAGATAGGTATATAATGAATTTCCTTTAATATTAACTTTTTTATTAAATAAAAAAATAAACTGATTTTCTTGGAACAAATTTTGAAGAACAACACCGGCATTTATGATATCTAAAACTTATTTTTCATTTAAATGAAACTAATATTTTCGTATACTACGCGTTTTTCATTATTTCAACTACATACTCCATACATTTCGATTACTTTACAGCAACCGTGATTACATATAGACGAGATGAAAATCACATTCAATAAAATATACATAGTAATCAATATATAGTTTCATTTAAATGAGTACTAATAAGACTTACATCTAAGTATTTTTTATTAATTATAAGTAAAATGGTAGGTAATATTTATATATATAAATATATATAAGTCAGTGGTGGCCTATTGGTTAAAAAGGCCCGCCTCTCATGCATGAGGGCGCGGGTTCGATCCTGACCCAGGCAAGTACCGATGTGATTTTTCCAAGTCATATGTACTTTCTAAGAGTATTTAGTCATCGCTGATTAATGCATTTCCAAAGAGGGTTGATGTCAGGCAGGCGGTCGGTCGTAAAAACAATTAACCAAAACTATTCACAACATGTAAGGCAGGCTATAGCCATAGCTGGGAAATTGACAGGTAGAAGAAGATATATATATATATATATATATATATATATATATATACATATCTGTGTTTTACCTGTATGTGTGTTGGTCTGTGCAATCCCACTGGGTACAAACTCAGCGGCCAGCGGGTTCAATGTGGATCTGGACACAGTCTCCTCCAATGACAAGTTACAGGACCCACTACTTGTTCTGTAATTAATATATACATATGAAAATTATTAACATACATAATGAGGAAGATATTTGGTTTGTTTTTTGGTGTTATACTTAATTTGTTGATATATAAGACTATATGATAACTAGCTTTCCGCGTGGAGTTCAGTTATATCGCGTTTCCAAGAGAATCTATCAAAAGTCTGGGATAAAAACTATCCTATGTTCTTTCTCAAGGTCAACTCTATGTCTGTACCAAATTTCATTAAAATCAGTTCAGTGGTTTAGGCGTGAAGGCTTAACAAACCGACAGACAGAGTTACTTTCGCATTTATAATATTAGTAGGGATAACTAGAGTAAGAGTCCGTAACTTGACTGTTATGATATAATAAGGGGACTAGTCTGTAATATTTTTTTTGTTTTTTGATGATGCAGGGAAACTCTTTTTACGAGCCGTCCAACCGGCCTTTTTAATCATACTTATGATATGATAATATCTAGACTAATGTAATCCTACTAACATTATAATTGCGAAAGTTTGTGAGTGTGTATGTTTGTTACTTCTTCACGCTCAAACGTCTGAAATGATTTTGATAAAATTTTGTATACAGGAAGCTCATGTCCGGGAATGACATATAGGCTACTTTATAACCCGGAAATCCGCGGATAACACCGCGGGGCGCAGCTAGTGATAATAATGACATACGTTGCACAATGTCCGTTGGAAACAGTTCTATGTCTTTCCCTCTGTTCATCTTCTAACATAGCTTCTATACATTGCTCCATTAATGCTTCCTCTTCTAACTGCTGCATGACCTGGAAATAACAAAAACCAGGTCAAATAACTAGTCTTAACAATTAATTGCAGGCCGCTGCAAACTAACCGAAAAATTCTGAGTATATTAGTTGTTTTTTTATAATAAAATAACGCATAGTAATACGAAAATATTAGTTCGATTTACTACATTGTTATCAAGATTTATATCGCAACTTAACTTTCGGGTACATTAGTCAGTTTTTACTTGATTAAATATGATATATTTTATTATAATTACACTTAAAGTTGGTGAAGATTATTCTATAATTAATTGCTTAGTTAAATAAACAAATGAGAATCAAAATACTTTATATATAGTGGACCTTATTACGAAATGTAACAATTTGCAAATAACATACAATTGTACATTAAAATGGCAAAGAAAAAGAATGTCTTGTATGGAAATCCTCGTAAAATTTTAGTCTTATTTTATTATGTTGTTTTAGTGCCCATAGAAATACATTATTAATGGAAATTAAAACTAACTATAGCAGTTTTGAAGGTATAGTCTGATAGCATACATTCATTGACAGTGGAATCTAAGTAAAAGATTCTTATGTACAGAACCATATATTATATGATCGTCGAAGTCAGCCCTAGTAAGTTCATTTCAAATTAGGTAGAGAGAGGAGCTTGTACAGTGGAGGTGATCATTTAACGTTAGATAGGGTCCCTTAAACCTACACCTGGGTCACAAGTCACAGTCACTGTTGAAGCTCCTCTCACTACAACGATGGACCCGACACATGCATATAAACATGGAATGATAAGTTTTTCTATATTACCTGTTTATCAAATTCCTCTTCATTTTCCATCCACATATAATCTTCGAAATCATCAGGCACTGGGGGGGGCGCGACATATGGCGGGTAGTAGGCATTAGTCATTACATACCCACCTGAATAACATTCATATTGATAAAGGGTCCAAAAAACTGGTTATTAAAACATATTTTTGATTGTATTGATGTGGGTAGTTTTAAATTGTATTCATTTTTAGATATTTTGTTAATGGACTGCTTCTATTTAGTAATTTAATTAGAAACCAAAGAAATTTGTAAAAATTTATGTGGTATATACAAATGATTATTGTATAATATGAACACACTATTGACTCTATGTATTAATCAAATTAAGAAATAATTTAAATTTCAATTAAGTACAATTAAATCTAAAAGCACTATTTCACTTTTACTAGAAGTTAAATGATGATTATTTATAATATTTAATTATTCACACTTTATATGTTCAATAAAAAAAAAATTGAAATAACATAACCCTCTTACTTTAATATCACTTCGGTTGGTTAAAAGAAAACGAAATCTTTATTTATCATTTCTATCTTTTCTCTTTGAACATATTAAACAGTTAAGAATTAATTTGATTTATTATTAATAACATACTTTTTGGAATTACACAAGATTGAGTACATTTATTATTATTATTTATTTATTACAATTATGTTGGTATTTTTTTACATATAATTTGTCTAAGTTTTCACAGTGTCTCATAAACCAATATTGGTTTTTCCGTACACTGGAATTCAAAGTCGTTAACTCACAATTACATTGACATCTCAATACAATTATAGACATACCGCGGTACCTTAATCATTATTTACCACTTCTATCTTGTCTCGTTGGACACATAATTTGAGTACTCACCAGGAATATGCCTCGGTATATGTACAGGGTACACGGGCCGGGCGCCCGCGTCTCCGCTGCCCACCACGCCACCGCCGACCCCGCTGTCTATGATAACTCCGTTTGGCTGGGTGGGTGATAATTAGTGTTACAAACTATTATGATTTATACATATGTTAGTAATAACTTGATAAAATAGATCTGTTATTGGTTAAGGATATAAATTTCAATAGAAATATTTGTAAGTGATTTCAAAGTAATATATGTATAGTGCTATACACATATATATGTTTATATTTATTCTAGTTTAACTATTATATTTATTCACAAAATACAATTTACTGTAAAAATATAATATAAAAGATAAATAAATTAAAAGATGTTTGAATATATTAATAGCAGAGCATTCTTTGGTGTTTAATTAAAATCTATGGATAGTCAGGATAGTTTATTAAGCTTTATATTTATTGCCATACTATTTTCATAGTTTCAATAATAATATATTTAATACAATTGTTATATATATCCAATGATTTATTTAATATCACACATACATACCTGCCACTGAGTGTTCTCATTGTTCCCGTAGTACGGATTTTCAGGTATTTTCATACTTGTAATCAATTTAACTTCTCTATCATCAAAAAGAAACACTTAACAGATACTTGTTATTTTTATCTCGATAAATATATTTATTAATACTTAATTATAATTTCAGGCACTATTTTCATAAGGATATATTGTCTGTTCCTAAGCATTTCGGGTTTAAATTTCTGGAAAATAGAAAACGTCGTTATTTTACACGTAAAACAATATTTTTGAGAAAAATCTTTGTTTTCGTAATTAAAAACGCAATTTTACAATATTACGACAGAATAGAACGATAAATGATAATTGCGACTTGTATCAACTTCATTGTTTTTAAAATTTAATGCTTATAAAATTATTGAGATCTTTTTTCTGACAGTAGCTCAGATGATAGCTCAAAATAGATTTCCAAAAATACAGTGACCGATATATGTTTTGAACTAATTTTGATCTAATTTAACTTGTATATAATATTGTAGTCGACGTAGCAACTACGCAAGCAAAATTAAAGTACACCCCGCACGTGTTTCATGAAAAAATAGTCAACTATATACTTACTCATAATACGCACTTATTATGCGTTTAATATATAATCAATATTGTAAATCCAAATATTATTGCGTTTTTCGTTGCACAGTTTTTTTTTTGTTAATTATTGCCACTATAACCTATTTAAACTTCTAGCAAACTTATACTCCGTGGCATGAATCGTAAATGGCGACTGGTCTGAACCTAGTGAGTGTCCACTTCGACAATAAACCAACTTCGTATCGTTGAAATGCCGGTCCTTTTTCTGTTTTGATCTTTGTTATATTATTTGAATTCTATTGAATTTAATCTAACTGAAAGATTCATACTCTTGTTAATTTAGTTAAGCCAAAATTGTCAAAATGACGGTAATATGGTTTTCTTTATTTGAATAGCTTAACGATTTTTATCAACTTAATCTCGGAACATGTTTTTAACACGAGCAATGTTACAAACATTTAATAACAAAGAATATGTGGAATTTAATTAATACATTTATCTCATATAATTCATTACACATAGGAATTATTCCTGTAATTATTTAATTATATTTATTTAATTTTTCCCAGTTGTAGTAAAGTAGTCTATGGCAATGTGTCATTGTACTGTCGTTGTTGAAATAAAGATGCGTAAAGTCAGCGTATAGATTTATAAAAAATAAATAAAGTATGAATATTAAATAAAAATAATAATTATTAAGTAACTTATTGTATCAAAAATATGATAAGCAAAACTTAAATATTCCAAAAAGTGAATGGAAAGGAATTATGGCACTAATTTTCTGGAATTCCAAACAAGTTTTTTAAGGTAGTGTTTTGGTGTTTACTATTCGATTTGCGCTTAATAATTGTAATTTATTTTTTCATTATAAAGAGAATTAAAGATAAATTTTAACTCTTATGTATTTTAATTGTCTGTACTGCATAATCAGTTGATAATTCCTATATTCTATCACAATTTCTTGTTATACTAATTTTTTCTTGAAATTAGTAGTTATGACTGCACAAGCTAGAGATTCTGCTTCTAATTTTAGAAATTTAAAAAAATTGAGTTGCTGAATTATTTCTTTTTCAATAAGTGCAGTTCTTTATTTACTTTTAATGCCAAAATATTAATGAATTAAAAATTTTTGAAAAATTATTTTGCAATAAACACATGTTCATAATTTGATTTTTGTTCACAGATATTTTTAAAAATTCTTTAATTTAATAATAAATATTACAAAATTTCAGTTAAAAATGAAACGGAGGGGTGATTATGTGTGCAATTCCTGCAACCATTCATTTAGCAGGAAAAGCAATCTTGAAACTCATATACTAAATGGGAACTGCCAATCTAATGCATGTAATATATGTGACAGGACATTTGCTAACTCGGCATCATTACAAGCACATATGTCGAGAGGACACAACAAATTGGGTAAACCACAGCCCGAGTGCGATTTGTGCGGACGGATATTCACAAGAAAACACAATCTCGTATCCCATATGATAGTAGTACACTTGCAGGCCGGCAAACAGAACATAACTTGTAATCTGTGCGATCGTAAATTTAATATCGAGAGAAATTTGAAACGGCACATGAAGCATAAGCATACATTCGTAGATTATCCGACCTGTGATTTATGTAAGAAGAACTTCAAAGACAAGGAATTACTTGCAGAGCATATAGAATCAGTGCATTTGACAAATTTTTCAGTTCCAACTGAGAATTATATGGAAAATAAAAGCGATAAATTGTTAAAAAATTGGTCAGAAATACATAAGGATAAGTCCGTTTTTAAATGCAATATATGTTCGAAAATGTACTTATCAAGTCAAAGTTTGAAACGACATACAAGGACTTCACACGGAGATAAGAATTACTGTAAGTATTGTTGCAAATTCATCAAAGAAGATTTCGACAAACATTTTAATTATTGTAACAAAAACAATGAGGAAAAATACATATTTAAATGTGAGGTTTGCAATGCTATATTTGATCATGAGAATTCACTGAGAAGTCATATAAAAGAAGAACATAGTTTTCAACAGTTTTACGACCACTGCAAGAAATCTCTACTAAACATAACACCTTGGAAATTACCTAAAAAAGATAATATTTGGCATAGCTGTGAATTTTGTTCTAACACATTTTCATCGGTATACGATTTGAAAGATCACATGAAATCTCATCACGACGTCGAATACAACTTATCAACTTGCAATGTATGTTTTAATAAGTTTTACAGTAAAGAAACTATGTTAGCACACAAAAAGAACTGTTTCCCGCCAAAAAACGCGAACGCCTGCTGTCATTGTGATAAATTATTCACTGATATATCGAGTTTAAATTTTCACGTAAGAATATTTCATCCGCAAGTTAAAATTGCTGATTCAAAAATAACAAATAACCGTGAGGATCTTGGTTCTTTTAAATGTGATCATTGCGACAGGATATATTACAGCGATAGATCCTTGAAACACCACGTGAAGTTAAAACATAGCAGCGACGAAGCCGCCGAATGTCAATACTGTGGAAAAATATGCAATAACAAATATTATCTGGCATCCCATATCAAAATAGTTCATAATAACGACTACTGGGCGAAATGCGATTTCTGTGATAAACAATTCAAATCGAAAAGAAACATTCGTCGGCATATTGAATACACACATTTAGGCATGCAGAGGTATAAGTGTATTGAATGTGAAACACTATTTAAAGAGAAAAGGAGTTTGAGAAAGCATGTTAGGATTAAACATCCAGATTCAACTGCGTTCCCACAGTGCCATATATGTAAAAAACGGTTCGAATCAGCTAAATCTTGTAAAATACATCTAAAATTACTCCATTCCTTCAATATGAATACCCATCCTTGTGATTTATGTTCAGTATCTTTTGATTCTCTCGAAGCTTTAAATATTCATCTATCAACGAAACATCTCGCTAAAGATGAAATATACAAATGCGAGGAATGCAATTTAGTTTTTAAAGGGCAAATAACATTCGATTGTCACAACGATAATTACCACGGGTGCGATAGTAAGGAGAAGAATCTACCGCGTTGTATAATATGCGCGAAAGATTTCAGAACTCGTAAAACTTTAAAGCGTCACATAAAGAGATTCCATGAAGAGTTTAACGTAGAGGAATTAGCTACATACGGTACAAAGAAACGTATTTTTAACGTAAATTGCAGTGAGTGTATTAAAAATTTCAATAATGATTTTTATTTCATGGTGTACTCCAAAATGAAGGATATGAGTGATTCGTTCATCTTCAAATGTGAATTGTGTTCTTATTCGTACAATTGTCTTGAATACGCTATACAGAGATACAAACAGAGCGTGGACGTAAAAGGAAAGTTGTATTTGAGTGAGTTGTGTACGACGGAAATGAGTGAAAATGATTCGGATACCGAAAAACTTGTCTCTGAAAGCAATGTTGATATAAAAAGTGATATGGAATATGTTGAATACAATAATACTACTATTAAAATTGAGCCGTTGTCTCCATGAATACTCTATTACCGGTCTTTGGAAATAAAACAACGTAATTATGCGATTTATCAAGTGTTTGAGAAACCACTACTTAGACTTTAGAATACGTGGTTGTAAAAATAGTGGTTCTTAAAATTGCAATAATTTTATATGAAATATACCTAGTTATATCAATATTTTAGTTTTGAGACAACTACTTTAATAATTAATATTACTTTAATTTTCACAAAAAAACCGTATATCAATGTACGGAAAAAGATACCAATCTTTTTTTTTCTCAATACTTAGACACAATTTTATACATGTCCTATTTATTTGTTACTATTATGAAAAGTACATAATTAAAGAATTATTCGTATACTGCTAGTGATGTAATTAGCGTTTTATGATCACACTAAACGATAATAATTAATACCTGTAGTTCTTGACAATAAATATATGTATATGTAGGGCACATCACTAGTCTCTATAATAATATTTGAAGATTCGATCTGATTTTGTATTTGAAAAGTTTATTTCTTTAATATTACTTAGTTATAAAATTTCCTTGCTTTCCAAGCAATGGTTCGTTGTGAAGAGCTTTTTTGTTACGATTTTAATATGAATCTCCTATTTTTGTTTCTATACATTTAAGACGATTTAATTAAGACTGATCCAAATAATTATATCTATTCTAATTGTAAGAAATAATGTAATAGCAATCTAGTGTATTGTATATCTTTGTATTAAGTAAATATAATTCTATAAATATTCCGAGAATTGTTTTTGATTTTATTTCCTCATAATAAATCTTGCCATTTTTATATAATTTGCTGAATAAAATATTCAAATATGTACATTATTTTTTTATATAAAAATTTCTACCAATTTACTTACCTCTCAGGGCATATGTAATTATTTATATTATGCATCATAAAATAATCAATTTGGTGTATACATAGTTAAGAAAGCTGCCTTTTTGTTAATACTAGACCTAATTCCTTCTTATATTATAAGTTTGAAATCACCAACCCGTCTTGAGCAAGCGTAGTGATTAATGCTCAAACCTACTCCATGTGAGAAAGAGGCCTTGCTCAGCAGTGGGCTCTGATAGGCTGATGACAATTCCTTCTTATAGTGAATACTCTTCTTTCTATATAGATTTGATACTTTATTGCAGAAATCTACAGAAGGGATGCTCATATATTCTTAAAACAATATATATCATATATTATAATATCACATGGTATATAATGTATCGTTCAGTCCGTGTAGTTCCTGGAACACTTCATAACAGATGTATTGTATGAAGTAACGACACACGATAAATGGCGCTGACTGGTGGTGAACATATATATTAAAATTTAAACATATTATTCTAGACTAATAAAGGTAAAAGCTTTTATGTAAAAGATTTTGTACCAAAAACGTTATTTAATGTATAACCAAGCATATACACTATGTAAGAATATATATATTTTTCTGTACGTTAATTATTTTAATCTTAAAACTTAGCACTTCTCCTTCTGAAACTTGACTTTGTGTTCAAAGGTAGTTTTAACTGAACTACTTTCTTGCTGCCCGATGTAGTAACTGATGCTCCAGTCACTCTTACTTTCATGGCTGCTGTGTTTGGAGTGATTTTAATAGATTCGCAGAGACTGTTCAAGTCAAATTTGCAATTATTTATTATTAGTAACATCACCATAGCATAACATAATGACTTGTCTTTATATGGGGCAGGACGAGTTCGTTTTCCATTGGTAGTGAGTAGGAAGTTGTCTAATATATGCCTGTTTAATGTAACCGAATGTGGGCACACTGTGAAACTTTTTTTACTTATTTCTTTCATCATTGTTATGTATAACTGTAGTAAATAATTTGCGTATACAGCTAAGACAGTCATCCTTTGGGATAAATTGTTTTTAACAATACTTTTGATGATTGGAATCAAATCGTTATCATAGTCTTTGCCTTCGAGTTCAGAGTATATTTTTTCATATTGCTCCTCAGTGAATATATTATTGATGTCGTAAACTTCCTCCACTTTATCGGCTTGCCGATTTATAATCGGTATATAAAAATCGTCTGAATCGGTCTTGTTGTATGAGGATAAATCGACTTTATCTTCGGTTATCTCCTGTGTAACGTTTTGCATCTGCTCGGTAACAGTTTCGATGTTGACTTTCAGTTTCTCGCGTTGTTCCATTCTTTGCTTTTGTTTCTTTGAACCGAATTTCCTACTGAGTTCCAATGTACTGGTTTCTAATGGGGCTGCGTCTGTGTTAGTTTTGAAGACTGGTTTCAAGTCTACATAGCTAGATTCAATCACACGTACTTTACCGGTGCTTTTATTTCTGGCTAGTATCAACGTTCTGCCAAGATCTTCTGTTTCCTCCTCGCCGGCGTAGACCAAGCCGTCTAATGTAGTGGCTATAGTTTTGGTCTCCTTTTCGTCATTGTCGTATATAAAACATTGTTCAGTTGTAAAATTGTCCGTCGCGTAGCCATTTTGAAAGTTAATTAGTACGGGATTAGTTATACTTTTCGGATAAACCTCTTCGATGTGTAATTGTGTCATTTTCTTAATATATATTTATCGCACGTGCATCAATAAGGTTATGAAAATAAAAACATTTAAGCGTCATGTCAAACGTCATTTATAATTGAATATTTGGTCTTTGATCTGTCAAAGAGTAAAACGAAATGTTCTAGTTAAAACGAATTTTAATAAGAAAAGATATGTGTTTATTTTTTTAATAATAAGGAAATTAATACGAAAAAAAATAATAAAAAACAGTACAATGTAACTAAATAAAAAATGTTATGAAGCATGCAATAAATAAGAAACATAAAAATTTTATTATTAAAAAGTTTAGACAAATATTTAAAATATATTAATTATTTGAATTAAAGTACAAAAATTTAAAACTATCTTCATGTAATTCTTCAAATTATTGAAGATTAAATTTTAACTGTATGTTTTGATTGACCCAACAAAGTTATAGACATTGTCCTAAAGCAAACAATTTTAAGACCATTTCAGGCATTGTCGAAAAAAATATTGAATAAGTAGAAATTAAAATTAATTGTATAGAATACAACATATATTTAGAAATTTTTCTATAAGAGAAAGATAAATTAGGTATTTGTTTTGTAATTAATTTTAAGATATAATATTTTCATAACATATTAACTAGGATTCTTAGCTTGGGAAATGTTTGTAAATATGACGTTTTAAATACAATTTTTCTGTAAATGTCTTCTTACAACCATCACGAAAAAAATGGCCTTTCTCCTGTATGTGTTCTCATATGAGAATTTAATCTGTTTCTATGTCTAAATTTCTTTTTACAAACATCACAAGAGAAAGGCTTTTCTCCTGTATGTGTTCTCATATGTCTTTTTAAATTGCTTCTCTGTGAAAATGTCTTTTTACAAACATCACAAGAGAAAGGCTTTTCTCCTGTATGTGTTCTGATATGAGAATTTAAATGGCCTCTTTCTGAAAATGTCTTTTTACAAACATCACAAGAGAAGGGTTTTTCTCCTGTATGTGTTCTGATATGAGAATTAAAATGGCCTCTTTCTGAAAATGTCTTTTTACAAACATCACAAGAGAAGGGTTTTTCTCCTGTGTGTGTTCTCATATGAATTTTTAAACTGTCTCTTCTTGTAAATGTCTTTTTACAAACATCACAAGAGAAAGGCTTTTCTCCTGTATGTGTTCTCATATGAATTTTTAAATGAATACTTTGTGAAAATGTATTTGTACAAACATCACAAGAGAAAGGTTTTTCTCCTGTATGTGTTCTCATATGAGAATTTAAAGGGCCTCTTTCTGAAAATGTCTTTTTACAAACATCACAAGAGAAGGGTTTTTCTCCTGTATGTGTTCTCATATGTCTTTTTAAATTGCTTCTCTGTGAAAATGTCTTTTTACAAACATCACAAGAGAAAGGTTTTTCTCCTGTATGCGTTTTTAGATGAAAACTTAACCTTGTTTTATTATGAGTAATGTAATCACAATGGTTACATTTATATTTATTTGCAGATTCATGCACTTTCAAGTGATATATCAATTGTTGCTCAATTTTTGTTTTATATGTACATATGTCGCAGGATAATATGTTTTGAGCTAAATAAATAATTGGCTCATCAATTTTTGTATTACTTTTCACAATAACGTCTGTCTGATAACTTTTTGTATTTAAAATATTTGAATTTTCATTGGATTCTTTAAGAAAATAAGTGTTATTATAGTTGTTAGTTATTTTATTTTTATCAGTTTTTCCTAATTTTATAACCAAGTTACAGTCATTTTTAGGTTGCGGATCGGTTACTTTTGCTTCTGACGAATTCTTAATTGTTTGTGATAAAACATTTTCTTTGCTCTTTGGTAGATTATTTTCAATTTTCCTTGGAACGTTAAATTTTGGCTTTTTATTTCTTGGTTGAATACTTTTTTCGCAATTTATTTCTTTATCTTGTATGTTATTAGTTTTTATATTGTTGCCATTGTTTTTTGTGTGTTTTTCGTCATTTTTTGTTGATAATGTAGCATTATTTGTAATAGCTATGGCGCTTTCTTGTCTTGAAACAGATGTTTGTTTTGATCGCGGCTGAGCACCTGTTAAAGTTAAACACTACATTTTAGGCCCAAAATGTAGTCAACAAAGTTTAAATCGTTTAAACTGACAGTATTAAGGTAAAACAAGTAAACTCTCAACGGACGTAATGCCAAGTTATGGGTTATTAGGTTTAGTAGTCTATCGCTACAGAATATTATAAGTTACTTCAATAAGTTTAAAAGAATAGTTATGACAAAAAGTATCTATTCTTGAAATAAATGACAATTCATATCTCAATCCTTACAAAGAATGTAAAAGAACTATTGTTACGATAATAGAACAAAGAAATAAATATTTTTTTACCCAAAATGCGTAACATATTTATATGATTGTTAAACAAATAAAAACATTGACATTAGCAAATTATTAAATGATTCCAGTGCGAATGAAGCCTTAAATAAAAAACAGTGACATACCAAATTTCTGTGCATAATCAGTCGGTGCGTTGTATTTCTTCAAATCAATATTCAATTTATTCGCAAACTCGCTTCCATAAAACACCATGAGCTCAGTGAAACGAGGAATGATTTTTATAGTTCTGATTAAAAATATAACAAATATTATAGCTAATGCACCTTTGTTTATTGTTTATAAATGTTGAAAAAAGCATCGAATAAATAAAATATATTATTGTCATGTTATGTGCGTCTTAATAGAAAATTCTCAACAAAAATAGATTTAAAGGCATAATGATCAAAAGTTAATATTATGGACGAAAATTTTTGTTCAAGAAACACAGCTTTCTGTAAGCGATTAACATTAGTTTTTAAGTGAAATATCTATAGAAAAACTCTTTCTGTTCCTTAAATTACTGTTTCGATACCAATAACCCTGACTTTGTATCAGTGGCGGGGCAAGACCTAAATTCGATGTGGGCAAAACAGATTTCGCGAGGCCCTATTCTATGGCAACCTGAAGCTCTTACTACCAGCTAGTTTTAAAAACTTAATCGTCGATACCATTTTTACCCTTAAAGCTTTGGTTTCCTTTAAAACACAGTATAAAGTGTATTTTATATAGTAGTAATTATTGCGTTACATACTTATTACCAATTAAATATTTGTTACTTAATGAAATAAAGACGAGTACAGGTACCGGTGTATTACAAATCACAAAGAAAACAAAAACAATTAAAAACGTCACTGTTTTCGGGGCAATCAATATGCTTAAACACCATCTATTTATTCGCTTAATATTATTAAAACATTGACCACACTATTCTTATCAAAATTGGTAAGTACAGTCATAAAAATAAACAATATATATAACACAATTATATATGTACATACGTTTTTTTTGGTATGCGCGTAAAGCCAGGGGTAAAACCCGCATTCTGGTAGGCGGCAAATGTTGCCAGTCTAAGAAAATATCATTATCAACAAAATTGATTTATTTATATATTTTTTTCTCGCTTTAAAAATTTTTTGAGGCGCGAGGCCCCTTGTACCGCGAGGCCGTAGGCGGTGGCCCACGTCGCCCAGGCCTTACGCCGCCACTGCTTTGTGTGTATGTGTGTCTGGGTGTGTGTGTCTCTGTGTGCATGTGTGTGTGTGTATGTCTGTGTGTGCGTGTCCTATACAATATAATAAGACCTGTAGTACAGCTTGCCCCTGTACTGGTAAGCTATAAGGTTCTGTTCGCACCAGTGACGCGAGCAGTTCACGTATCTCATCCAGTTAGACTTGTTGGGATCCTCGGCGTTGATGACGTACGAGCTCCTGTTACCTTTTATCTATGTTAAGGATTTGGGGGTCACTTGTTTTAACTTAAATACACTTTGTATGCAAAAAGATATATAAATATACATATTAGACAAAAAATCAATAAAGAATGTTTCATTGAAAATACAAATAGAATAAAAAATTCGTCGAATGTCAGGGCACAATAGCTTAGTTGGTAAAGGCACTGAAATATGCTATATAGTGGTATCAAGTTCAAATCTAGGCTGTGTCAATGATTTTGTCATTATATTATAATTTAATTTTTTTATCTGAGGTCAGTAAGGCAAATATTTTTGTATCATATATTTATATTTTTCATTCATTTATTACTCAATACTTACAAGTATTTCAGCCTTTAATTGGCAATGTATAAAAATATATTTTGATTTAATTTTTCCAATAATTTTCCTTAATATTTAATAAATTTAATCAATTGTCAAGAAAAATTAACTAAAAACTATACAATATATATATATATATATATATATATATATATATATATATATATATATATATATATGTACATCTTAATTAATTTGTTTTAAACAAATTATACCCACCTGCCAACAGTACATTGATGTAATTTCTTCTGTCTTTTTCCCTACATATGGTCCAAAACGGACTCCACTTGGTAGAGTGAGGGTAGAAAATACACCTAAACCTGCTCCTATTTGTATAATAGAGTATTAAAGATTTAAAAAAAAACTCTTTTATATATATTAAATGTATAATTAGGAAGAAATAAAAGTAATAAATTATTTTTAGAAAAAATCATTATATACAAATAACATGTTTTTAATATAATCAAGAACAATATGAGTTAATTTTAATTAAATGATAATTTTCATAAAACATATATTATATGTATGTTATATTAATAATTACCTGGTATTCTAGAAGGTGCTATATGTAGAAATACATTTGGAATGGTGAGTGCGGCTCGGGGAACACAAGGAGGGAATGGGGATTTGGTCGGAGGCTTGGGTTGATAATTGTATTGTTATATAATGATATAGCAAGAACTATATAGTCGGGGATAATACAATCCTGAGTAACTATCATTGAACAATTGAACATATCTACATTGGAAGCAGATTATCAGAAGAAAGTTTGAGCTGAAATATATTCTATATTAACTACTTTTAAGATAGCTTCTCCATAATTAGTAATAAATTAAGCACTAAATAATTACTAATTGTGAAAAAATTACCTTAAGCGTCGTTTATATT